AGTTGTGCATGCATTTAAAAAACAGAGTTGCTATAAATGGAGACACATATATGATACTTAGAAAATGCAAAAAGGGTCCCACCTCCAATAGAAATAAAAGTAGCTTGATTAAAATACGTTGAACAGATTCATGGTTGGACCGGGACTTATGCGGGATTAAGAAAAGAGAAGAAGGACAACGAGGGAGTCTTTGTTGTTATTTGCTGATTAAGCAACAGCGTACGGACAGTATATGAAGGATTAGGTCCTTCTCCAATTTATTAATAATAAAGTTTTGATTAGGTTAATTATATAATTATATATATGGATGACTTGGAGTTCAGTCCTTGTCCGTGGGCTATCGCGGAAAACGCGGATTGGACGGTGAAAAAGTTTGCTGAAGAAAATAGTTAATCCATAGCTTTCCTCCTTCAACCTCAAGTCTTGATTTTCTAAGATCTCATATTGAATTTTGCGCGCGCGAATATTGATTCGGTGAAAGTTATATGCGCAAATGTAAATTATTTTTTTTTCTTGATTTGAGCTATAGATTGGAATTTTATCCTTTCATGGGAGATTTTTTGGAATTTAGACACCGAATTCGGCTCTCGATTTTCGAGTAATGTTAGGAATTAATGTGAAGATAATCGAGAAGGGTTGTGAAATGATAATGGGAATTATTGCACTTTCCTCCCATCGAAAATGTAGCGTAATGTCACGATTGAAAAGAAACAAAAGATGGGAAAAATCATATGCTTGGCTTAGACTTCTAATTTAACTTTACCAATAAACCCAAAAAGCTGGAGCTTCGAATATAAGAAATTTACCAGAGCATTGCATTTCCCCTATAAAACTTGGAAGCTACTTTGAGAAATTTGAGCACACTCTTGTCGGGGAGACGTTGACTTCAAGTTGCAATTCTGAAATCCCATTCCTAGTGACATCACTAGTTTGATTATTTGACTACTTGAGATTTTTTACCATCGTAATTTAATTGGAGTAAGATTACCTGTATACGTACTCGCTGTAGTGGTCAAGATGATATGTCATGTGGGTCGTGAATTAGTCGGCTTGTGCATTTAGGAGAAGATGTTCCATAAATCGAATACACCATGCGATAACGGCCTGTAGAGAAACAAGCTAATTATGAATAAGAGTTTTCAAAATTCAAATGTAATTCTAATTGATACGTGTATCGCTTGAGTACTGTAATTTGATCAGTTGCACAATATCGATCGAGCCCTATGAATTAAGTGTATCTGGCATTGTCGATTTAGGCCATTAACTTCTTCATGTTGAAGTCCAGATTTTAAGCCTAGTGTCAACACTCATGAAATGCTCTATCGTGCATTTTGAGCATAGGTCCAACATGGTATCTATGTATCTAGCTTTTGCTTTTACCCCTCCCGCGAGGGTGTGTGTGTGTATAAAAGTACGTATGGCCAATGGGTTTTTGGTTAGTGTTAGACCAAAAGGACGGTAATTAGTATAATAATGTTTATTATATATAGATTAGTATAACAATGTTGAATATTCTTAGAAAAACAAGGGGAGCTAGAAAAATAACTTTCGTAGGTAAGTAAAAAGTCTCTTTCGAATTGCAAAATTAGATTGTAGCTGCGTGGACAATATAACTGATCAAATTTCAGAGAGAAAGCAAAGTGTCTTTTCCCATTAACGGGAGACATCTAAAAAGATATCGTCTTTTTCATATTCTAAAGACCTTATTAATGAAGGATGAAAATACGCAAATACTTCTCTCCTTTATATCATCCACACAGCATATATATATCATTCAATTTATAGTCGACATCATAGGAAAATCCAAACCGAAATTCAAATCAAATCAAATATCAAATATTACTAATAAGACACATGCAAAAAGTCCATGTTGCAGTTGCGCAAGAGACCTATCTTTTGCTATCATTGGAGAATTGGTTGAATTTTTGAATTTGACTCCCCATCTTGAACTTTCATAATATGACAAAAGCTCCCCAACCTAAAAGGTGGAGAGCTACGCACGGAGTGAAATTGCTTCAGGTGTTTCCACTGGTTGGGCAAAAATCTCGCATGGGCCATCTGAGCAAATCTTATGTCCAAATCACGGGTTCATGTGGGAGGGAACACATGCACATGAAAGTGACTGTTGATCTTGATTGCCCCATTTGTGCTCTAATTGATTTGTTAATTTATAGGTGAGGGGCTGGGAGAGACTTGAGTAATTCCAACTAGTTGGCGACTTTTAGTACCGACTGTAGACATTGATTGGCCTATTTCAACAAATGTCAAGGTTCCCATCATGACTTACGAGATTTTTCCTCACGATGAAATTTTTTCTGACGATGGGTCATTTTAACAGTGTCCTATCGAGATTAATTCAAATTTCTTTCCGTGTCGATTTTAACATAAAAGCTATGTGCTACATGAAGATTTCGTCGTGGTGTGAAGCGTGAAGAGGTTTCATTCATGTGCGGGGACATGTGAAGTATTTTGTCAAGTAAAAGTTTAGAAAATCACGGTGTTTTCTCCTTCAATGGTTTTAAGAGTTAGGGGATAATAATTCAAACAATGGTTTTTAGAAAGTATACAGTTAATAATTTGCATTTGAGTGCTAAAGAAAAAAAGCAGCAACGCTTCTATGACCAAGGATGCTTTTTATGAGCAAGAGATACTCCGCAGGAGTAGTGCATCATGCGATGCTATACTCACGCAATTGAAATCTATCATCAAAATTTAACCTTGTGATGATAGATAAATCATAGTGGGTGCTTGAGGTTACGAGAAACCGCTCCTCCAGAGAAACGCTAGTTAACGTTCGAAGAGATAAATTTTGTTTGAAATTACGATGAAGAATACGCTGCTACATATGTTACGTTTGGAAAATCGTTCTTCGGAAAAATATCGAATGGTCCGACTATCATTTACAGAAAGATTTCAAGTAAAGGTGATCAATGGGCGGGCAGCCCATTTAGCCCGTACGGGCTTGAGAAGCAAATATGCGGGCTTAAGCAACATCCTTATATGAGAAAGGCCGACTCACCCAACTCTGGATCCGGCCCCGGCTCGAATATTTCTATATTAATTTCATGCTATGGACGGGCTAGGGCAAAATCATTAAACTCAACACTCGAACTAGTCCCACCCAATGATCACATCTATCCTCGTATAACCTGCAGGCCCTTGCATTATATATCCCCGTTTGGTTTAGCTTTCCAAGTCCGGAAAGCCGAAAGCTGGCATTTGGAATGCCGAAAGCCCAAAGCTAGTCCGGACCAGCTTTGGGCTTTCGGCATTCCACAAATGCTGACTGTTTTAAAAAAAAATAAAATTCTTCAGCAAAGCATGGCTGGCTAGGGCGGCCGGCGAGGTCGCCCGACCCAGGCGACGGCCGCCTGGGGTCGAGCAACCGCCCAGGCCGTCGCCGTTTGAGTCGTGCGACCTCGGGCGACGGCCACACTGGGGGTCGCGCTGACCCAGGTGCGCCGTCACACCGGGTCGTGTGACGGCTTGGCGCCTGGGTCGCTCGACCCAGGCGGCCACCGCCTGAGGTCGCTCGACCCAGGCGGCCACCGCCTGAGGTCGCTCGACCCAGGCGGCAACGGCTTGAGGTCGTTTGACCTCAGGCCTCCTCGGGCGACGGCCGCCGGAGCCAGATCTGGCTCGCCGGCGGTCGTAGCCCTTCGCCGGAGCCGGTGAAGGGTACTTAAAAAAAAAAAAAAAACCTCTCAAAGCTCATTTGTAAAAAGAAATTTACCAAACACAATTGCATTTCCCTAGGTGACTTTCAAATGATTTTTTACCAAACACTACTTGCATTTTCCCAAGTGACTTTTACCTAAAGGTATTTGCATTTCCCCAAGTAGAATTTGAAAAGCCGAACCAAACGGTCGATATTCTTATAACCATGGGGGATTATGAAGGTTTAATCTCAAAAGTTAATCCCATTGTTTTCCCAACGCCTAAAAAGAAACAAAAGAAAAGGACACATGACATAAATATTCTTGTTCCACCATCAAATCCATCGGGAAGAGGAATTGCCCATACGCGACGACGCCCGATATTAATACGGAAGGGGGCAAGGTGGGGTCCGCACGACCTGCAACGTGGGACCCTCCAGAGAAGAGGGGTGACATGATTCGCAGCAGCGAGCAGAAGACGAGGGAGGAGTGGGCGAGATTCACGGTTTCGGTCGCACGTGTGGGACGCGCACAAGTTGTCACACTGCCGCTCGACGAATGCAACACGCTCCGATCGGTCCACTCGTTGCTCGATTTTTGATAGGACCCATTTTCCTCCGATCTGGCAGGAGGGTCTTCTTAATTGGTGAATCATAAGTCATGTACGTAGCTCGTATACAGATTAAGACTAATCATATCCATAATTGTAATCCACTAATCAATAGGTGATGGTTGGAGCAGACTTCCATCGACCTCGGCCGGAGAACAACATGCCCGTTATGATACAAGTTGCGATCTTTTGGGTTCCGAATTCGCATTGCGACTCACGTTCAAATAAATTATGACACAATCTAGTTATCAACAAGCCCGTCGGAACGCTTGTCGACCAGTTCATAAATTGAACCACACCTCTTCAGACACCGAAAATAGACATCACACGGCAATTTCGCAGGTAGAAAGATTTTCGAATGAGTAAAACTTGTCTAGTATCAGCAGAACATATCAAGTAAACTCGTCACTTAAACAGTTCCGTCGCTCTGTATCAAGTCGTCCATCGAATACCAAGACTCAAGAGACATGAACTTGATGAGTGGGATACGAAATTCAGCCTTCTTAGGAGGGACCCAAGATTGTTGTTGCGTGCAAAGCTTTTCTTAGATTAGTTTCTGTCGAAAAACTCATTTCACAGTGACTAAGTAGGACATTCTTGCATCGAGAATGCACTATCACTTACAGCAGCGACGTACCGACTGCAAATATGAATGTCAACAAATGCATCTATGCAGGACATCTATCGCTTTCAGTTCAACATGGAGCTCAGAGAGATCAGCATACCATTCAGTGTGGTCTATAACACTACACTGCTTAAGTGAATGTGCATCTAGAAATGTTAGTTTCCTCAATAGTTCCATATATCTGAAGTTCAACGGAGGATTATCAACTAGGGATATTGTCAAATCAAAACTAAAATCCAAGGTTATGACAACTGACAAGCCATAATCACACAAAAGTGAAGTACAGGAATTGAACTAAAAATGCCAGGATGCATCAAACTTACAGATTTCGCTTCCATGAACAATCACTTCTCCTTCATCTGAGCTTGATTTATCGGGAAGCAGAGGGTATGCCTTTTCTCTGTTGAAGATTTGAGTAGATAAACTTCTGCTAAAACCACTGAAGGCGTCCATCTGAGTGGAACTTTTGAGTCTTTTACACCAATCCTCCCCACATAGGAAGGACAACACAACTTCTCCATCTTGAGGAGATCAACGAGTGTAATCGGTGAATATATGATCTCCCTGTGAAGAGACGGGAGATGATAAGCACATTAATCTCAATTCAGAATCACATCCAAGGGAATGCATATAACCATCGGTTAGAGGATGATAATGTCTCTCACTGAAGCCCTTGTGGATGAACTGATCCTGCTTTGGAGGCAAAAGCACTGCATATGAGGCATCAAAATTGTGATCTTCAGCCCGATGAAAATTATATGAATCGCGCGATAAAGAACAAGCAAGATCACTAAAAATCGCAATATCTTCCTTCCTTTCATATTGTGTTTCACCATCATGGTTGTGAAAGCTGGTCGAAGGAAACTGTGATGGACAAAACTGTAAAGGATAAAGAGAAGAGACACAGAATGCAGGCGATTCTCTCCCACCAAACCCAGATTCTAGAGTCTGTTGGTCATAATAAGTTTCAAGATCATTATTGTGAAAACTGGTCGATTGGCATTGTGATGGCCAATACTGTGAAGGATAATGAGACGAGACAAATAATGCAGATAACTCGCTTCCAACAAACCCAGATTGTAGAGTCAGCAGGTCATAATGTGTTTTGAGATCACTGTAGTGAAAGCTTGTTGGATGGCATAGTGATGGACAAAATTTTGAAGGATAATGAGATGAGACAGAGAATGCAGATAATTCCCTCCCACCAAACCCAGATTCTAGAGTCTGCTGGTGATCATTGCACCGATAAGTCAGCAATGCTGGTGCTGTAGTGAGCTCTCTACTTCGACAAACAAAGCACAAGTCTCTTTCATTATTCTTATTATCGAGAACCCATCCCCACTCTGAATCACGTGTCTCCTCCTCAATCAAGGATTTATTTGGAGCTTGGAACTCATCCTGGACAAACCAAATGAAACAAAGGTATATATCTGATATTGGAAAGACGCAGAATTTTCTGTATAGTATGGAGATGGAGCTCTGAAAATCTCTAATTGCCCATTAGTTACCTCAGATTCCTGCCAAGTACTGGTCTCGAGGGCAGCAACAGCTGGAAGATCAAAATCTGGGATAATCCTTTCCATAGATTTATTTAGCCACCCAGAAGATAGAGAACAGTCCAAATAGTGTCCACCTTCAGCTTCCAGAAAGTCCCATGTGCAATTCTGATTAAACTCTTTTAACTGAATACCAGACTGAGGGTAAGCATGCAGTTTAGAGCTCATGCTGGAGTCAAGTTGCTTCCTATCAAGATTTGTAGCATCCTGTCAAAAGTATTGGTTGCTCGGTAATAGCTATTAGGAGATAAACAAATAATTATTCCACAAGATTAAAAATATAAGCATACATTGTCCTCATTGGTCGTTGGGTTTAGGCGACTTAAGAGTACGGAAACAAAACCATACCTATCAGAAATTCCAAAAGTCCCCGGTAAGAGTCATTCATCTGAAAAGAAGAAACAATAACTTATGAGCTGTGAAGCTTCTTACCCCTTTGAGCAGAGTTTGTCAATTTCAGGAAAGGAGGTAGTTTTGACCCACAAAAGTAGATTCTCCCTCTTCTTAGGAAACACTTCGCCAGACTTGTAGCTATTCCAAGTCCCTGAAGGTAGTTTGAATTTTTCAGAGAAGCAACTTGAGGTATTTTAAAAGAACATGACCAACTTAAACATAAGAACAGCTGCAGAGTGATAGATGTATTTATTAATTTAGGTGGCTGAGGTGGAGGAGATGGAACGAGGAAACCGTAGACAATAATATCAGTATAGAAATCTTAGGGCAAGGGTGATTTCCTAATTGGGAAGCATTGTGCTGAGGTAAGGAGACAGTCAAACAGTAACGAATGACATGCCTGAAATGAAGATATAAACAAACAAGAGCTTGTCCAAGATTGTAACAAGTCAAAGCAATGTGGGACTCAGTCATGAATAATGCAGTGTATTCCACAAAGAAAATACTTATGGAGAATGCTGGCAAGAATTTTATTATGCAGACCTGATTTTCTGGAAACACTATCGACTGGAGCTTGAAGTAAGGCAAAATTCTTTGTTGTAACATCCTGGTGAAGCAGTGACGACCCAGATTCCTTATGGACGCTATCGACCATATGGGTACTTGCTGAATGAAGATAGATAGAAATAGTCAGTACATTCCAGGTTACAAAGAGAGCAAGATAAAGTTTCTCAACCTACTGCTGGGATTGTGATCAGATATGAACTTCTTAGCGGGAGTGGCCTCATTTTGCATGGGACGGGAGTTAAATCTGTGACCTTTGTTCTCCTTTAATTTCTTGAAAAATGCATATTCAGAGGTCTTCGGGACATCAGCTGCACGTCATGTTCATGCTTTTGTTATAAGATTGAATTCTTCACGATTACATACTAAACACTAGTGTATTTCAAGATAATGTAGCAAAGAAACAATTATTATATGTCTTCAGAGAGCAATCATATGCACATGAACTTACATATTCGAACCCCAGCTTCTTCTTGAGTTGTAGCTTCATCTTCCCTGAAGCCTAAGCGGTTCTCCTCACAATTATCAGCAAACCTAACTCTCTTTCTGCTCGCAGTTTCTTAACATAAAAAGAAAGATAAAATAAATACCATCCTTAGCTCATTGTCATAACAACAAGCCTTGTTCTACTGTTGTTGTGGCTCTAGCATGCATTCGCCGTATATACACATTGAGAAGAAGGATGCTAGATTCATGGATGAGAGTCGACGCCTGCCGCTAATTGCATCGGGTAAAATAACCTATCCAAGTACAATAAAGGAACGAAATTCTATTTCCAATCTCGCACGCGCAACTCCATAACAGATCCAGGTACAAGAGAAAACCCCGTAATAAAAAGGATGGCGTAATCACCAAACTTCCAGAAAATTAGGCCACCCAACATGCCCGGCTTGTCCCCAGGTAAACAAACACGACACAGCCATGGAAGCCCAACAGGCGAAAACAAGGAAAGAACGAACATCTCCCGCAAATTAAAAAGCACCAACAAGTGAAGGTAGGAAACAAGGCAAGGCAAGATAATCCACCGAGTCACAAAAACAACAAAACTTGCGCGATTGCTTCACATTACGCTGTTCTGCAAGGAAACTTCCCAACAGGAACGAAAGAATGCACCGACTCTACAGATAAACTAATCCAAAATCGGCATACCAAAGCAGACGTTGCGACGAGACCCAAGTGAGGGAATCAAATCAATCGACAAACTCGAACAGGCGAAGCCGTTTCACATCTACGGATCGAATTGGCGGGGGAGGAGCGATACCTTGACCCGACCGAGGGATTCTTACGGGGGCCGAGCGGGTTCCGGAGCTCCGGTACGAGCGAGAACCGGCTCCGCCGCGAGCCCGTGCGCGCGGCGGAGGACCTTTGGCGTTCGCGATCAAAGCGACGATCTTCATCGCCGACCTCGAAAGACGACACAGCGATCGATCGAAGGATGAGATGATCGGCAAAATCGAAACCCTAAGCAAAAGCGTCACTTTGTGATGACAGAGTGGAAGAAGAGGGAGTGGGAGAGAGACCGAACGTTTTGCGCGCCAAGATGGCGGGGTGGTTTTGGTTATGAAATGTGATTTTATTTTGCTCCATTAAATTAGTAAAATAAAGAATCATTTCATTTTTATTCACCTGGGTTTGCTGCTTTTCTTTTATCTATGAGTTATGAAAGAAGCTAGTTATCCTTACCAAAAAAAAAAAAGAAGCTAGTTATTTTCTTTTTTTCAATTGAGAATTTTAAAGTAAAACTTCCATTAGTCAATAGTTCCTTGTTACTTACAGCTCTCTTGACTCAGTAGAAAAAATATGTAAAAATAGCAAGATGGTGGCAAAAAAAAAAAAACCAAGATTGGTTTTAATTTTATAGTTTAAACATTAGTAGTTTTTGTGTGGTAGCGGAGCCCTTCTCAAATATCTATCACCCGACATCAATTTATGTATGATTATTTTTATTATAATGGCAATTACCGTATTACTATAACGACCATCGTCGAAGAAGGATGCCACTGAACTTTGAAATTTCAATTTGGGATACTCAAAATTGGCTTCTAATTTTGGGTGTCATTCATGGTGTGATTCCTTGTTAAGAGAGAGAGAGAGAGAAGCTTATTTTTCGGTCCGAGTCTTACTTGATTAGAGAGGTGGTCCTTTTTGTTGCATTTCACTTATGATTTTCTTACATAAGTCTTTTTTACTTCCGTTGTATATTTTAGGTGACCAAGCTGAAATACCAGATTATTCAATTCCATTGTCATTTATGCACAGAAGAATACAAGCAAAGGTGGTATAATTAACAAATGAAGTGAACTTTCCATGTACCGACTCCCTAGAAAAGTCTCTGGAGTCGAAGTTTGAACAACAATGGTCAAGAACGATGAATGCGTGATCACCAAGGTCCCAGAATTTAAAAACAAGAGACCGAGTCTGACTTTGTCACTTGAAAACTTTCGAAGAGCTCAATAAGAAACCGACCCAGCACAGATTGGAGTAAGAAGAACAACGAAATTCGTTCTGATAAGTTGGGGTTCATGGAGGGAGTGAAGCTGCTCGGAGCTTGGCCTAGTCCCTTCAGTTACAGAGTCATATGGGCTCTCGAGCTCAAGGGAGTCAAGTATGAGTATGTGGAGGAAGATCTCGGCAACAAGAGCGATGAATTGTTGCGGTGCAATCCAGTTCACAAGAAGATCCCTGTGCTCATCCATGGAGGGAGACCGGTTGCAGAGTCCGCTGTTATACTGGAGTACATCGAGGAGAGTTGGCCACAAAACCCTCTGCTTCCTCAGGATCCTTATGAGAAGGCCATGGCCCGGTTCTGGATCAAATTCAATGAGGACAAGGTGTGTTGCGAACATTGAACTGGAAATGCTTTCCGTGATATATTTGTTAAAATATTTGAGGTGCATCAGTTACCCGTAACAGTTTCATTTAGCTATTGCATAGAAGTTCCACCTGGAAATTGTTGTTTTTTGGTTTCAATAGCAATTATTTTCAAACATTAATTCGCAGAAACTTCATCTGGAAATATCAGTTTCGATATGATTCGGTCAAAATTTCTTTTCTGAGAACTAGGTTTGGTTCATGTCTCATTAGCCTCGTTCTCGAGCTTACCTTGAAGCGAAAACAGGAATTTCCCTGAAAAATGTAAGAAGTTCTCTCTAATTAGATTGCGGTAAATCTTGTGATGTTACAAATAACAAAGAATAAGACCCTGAAGAGCTAAATAAGATAATTCAAGAAAGCAATAAGCATGATTAAATCCTCCTTCCACTCTCTAACAATGAACATTCTGGGTGACGAAGACCCCGATTTTCTTCAGATTCTGTCGCAGCACAGGGGAGCAACAGGAGGAGGCAACAAAAGAAGCCAAGAAAGTCCTGAAAACCATTGAAGAACATGCTCTTAGAGAGGAGGACAAGTTCTTTGCAGGGGACAAAATTGGCTTGCAAGATCTGGTCTTTGGATGGTTGGCTTGGTTGCTTCAAGCACTGGAAGAAGTGGTTGGCGTGAAATTATTGGAAGCCAGCGAATATCCTCGCCTGCACAGATGGGTGCAGAATTTCAGAGCTCATGATGTAATTGGAAGCAACCTTCCTGAGCGTGATGCTATGCTCATCTACTTTAAGCGCCTCAGGGAGACCTTCATTGCGTCTTCTACATCAGCAGTGTAGTCATGTGGACTGAGTCTGGATGACAACTTTTTACTTTTCGTGAGCAAGTTCTGCAAATAAATTTCCAGAGTCTCCGTGTGGATTTATGTTATGAGTAGTGATGGTCCTAAAATGTGATTATACATGCTATTTAAATACAGTAAGTGTAAGGCTGGTAGTCTAAAACATGATTGACTGGAAGATGTGAAATTAACAGAGAGGAGATTGCATATTTGTCGCTCTTGATGAGATTCATCATTCATGTATGATGCGTTTTTCCATTACGATTTGTGCCTAATCCTTGATGCTCTCCCTATAGCAAGCTACGCAACTAGCACTCTCAGTGTCCACATAAGCAAGAAAACTCCTTAATGACCTTGAACTCGAGGCTCTGCTTGCAATACAGGCTCAAGTTTTATCCCGGTACAGCTTCATAGTTTTCATACTAAAGAATGATCAAGCAGTAAAGTCAATCGTCTGCTTCTCTATGCAATGTCCATCTTGGATTGCAGTAGTCGCAAATTACAAAAGATGTGCCAGTATGCTCTTAGTCTCCAAAATGGAAGTTTCATTTCCTTGTGAGTTTCAAGAATCTCAGTTTCACGCACGTCTGAACTGTCATGAAAAATTTTCTGCTTTTAAGAAGACAGAAGGCGATGTAATCAAGAGATAGCAGAGTAAGCAACCAATAATACATATACGAACACTCGACAGGACAACTATTCAGAAACACAAGTACTTAAACAGGACGAATGAGAGAAGTACATTTGTCTTCAGGAATGATAATACAAATTGCATCAGGGCCTCACTATGGATGAATGGGCTTGATGAAGGGGGAAAGATCGTATGAAGATATTGAATTTCATGAAGTTCGCTTGAGGGGTCACCTGTTTCATAATTGAACCAGCACTGTCCATCTTCAGCTATCATGTCTGAGATCATTCTAAGTTGATAGTGTCCTCGTTGTCACTAGTTTATCTAAGGCTATACCTGAAATTTCTCAGAGTAGTTTTAATTGGCTATTTATCACTATTCTCTACTCCTATCCAAATACTCTCTTGCAGTTTGGATCAGTTGCCAGATAATTTGCATTGACACATAAAGTTTCTGCATCAATGATTTATTTTGGAGCAAGTGCTGTCTTCCTTCAAAAAACTTTGCATAGAAGAGCAGATTTTTCCGCGTCGGCTTTGACAGGTAAACCGAATTGGCGAATGTGTGTACTTGCAGAAGGCTGAGACACCAAGACAAGTCATTTGACTCGTTTTCGGTTATAGCTAGTGCGTTCTAAAATCAGATTAAGATAGTACTCCCATCTCTGCACAAACATGATGCAAAAGCATGACCACTACGGTCTGAAACTGAGTGTCTCTATGTAAATTTACTCAGCTAACTTTGCCTGGATTAATAAACTCTTCTGCTCCGACTCTGACAGGCTTGTCTAAAATGGCGATTATGTGTGCACTTCCGTAGTAGGCCAGCATGCCAAGTCTAGTGGTTCGACAATAGCTGGCATGACTTTGTATTGGGCAACAATTGTACTGTTATCTCTGCAAATAAATGAAGCAACAACATGACACTTAAGTACGATCTCAAACTGGATGTCTCTTTCTGATGCCCTACTACAGAATGATAAAGACACCACAGCACAGAGGGGCCTGAACCTGGATGCGGGTGAGCCGTTGCCCTTAAAAGGATTTCAGAGTCAGCAGTATGAAATGATCAACGAAAGTATCTCTCATTTAGAATCGATACATAATGGTTCATGCAATATCTATGCTACTAATGTCGAGTTTTTATGATTAATTGGCTGCACAAACTTTTGTGGATGTCGCTGTTGCGAGAATTGAGGATCTCGACTTTCTTAAAATGGGAAATCCTTTCAGTACATGTTGCTCGAATTGATATGGAAGTACAGAAGCACAAGCCAACCAAAAAGCATAATCTATCAAAGAACATATGCTTGACTCGCAGTTCTTCCGGTCATGATCTTAGAATCTTATTGACCGGTTAACTCAAAGATATTTGGTTTTCTGTTTCAGTACAACTCGAATAAGTACCCACGGGCAGGACAATCTGTCCAGCTCAGACCGTATATCGACACTGCCATGTGGAAGAACAACTCTGTGTCATCAGAGACACCAAAGTGCTGCTGAAGTAAGGGCAAAATGGGACCTGATAATGGCATCTCAGCAAGGAACAATGTTGGCAATGCCATGTGTGTCATTGATCCCTTTTGAAGCAAATGTCCTAGCAAGAATAGATTGCCGATTGAATTGAAAGAACATAAAGTTGGAAGGGGTTAGCACACTTGAGCTTATACATAGCAATCAGTGGCCAGAGGCTCAGAAAATGTAGTTGCTGCTGATTTGGCTGCGATCTTGACGTTTCATTGTTGTTGTTCAGTTCATGTCAGCTCCTAAAAGTTTCCGGTGCAAGTGTTTGAAAGTGTAATGAAGCACCTAAATGGATGTTTCAAAAAGTAAAACCCATCGAATTTGTGCCGGTTTTGGCGGTTCTCATATAACTATATCGTGCGGACTCCGAATAATCGAAAGGGGTTGGGTGAAGAGCAGATTAAACGAAAGTGATCTGATGATTCTGAAATAAGTTGTGATTGGGGCCTCCAAGAGTAGGGTAGTGACAGTCTCATGTGTTTGCTATTTATTGCGCTGGGCAGAGATGTCTTTTTTTGCGTGGTGTGATAGAACTGAATAGGGTGCAAGCAAACAAAAGAGGAGAGCAAGTTGGAACAAGGTGATTTAATGAAGTGGTCAGGTCCTGTTTTGGCACCCTAAAAAGAAGAAGAAAACAAGAAACTTGCTTGGTGACTTTGAGAACTGTGGTGATGAAAAGAGAATAGGAGAAGCATGGCCAAGAGATTAGTGTTTTGCCTTTCTTCTCTGATTTGTCAAAACTCAAGGCATGGGGGGACTCATGTGAGCTGTTTCTCGTGCCTGTGCACAAAGGATGTCGAAGAACATGACTCGGGTTTGCTCTTTAAATTCAAGTTGGACTGAGGAACATTTTTGGTGTCTTTGAAAGGGATGGACAAGGATTTCTCTTCTGACTATTGCAGGAAATAGTCTCGTTTGATGTTGTTGCACCATCATTTGAATACTTTAGTCATCATAGGAGCAAATTAGACTCCTTAGAAATCCTCTTTATCCTCGATGTAATAAACTGCGCTAGTTCATGTGAGTCAAGTTCTGAAATGTTCGACAAAAAAAAAAAAAGGGAATGCAACCAGTCAAGATGGTGACCATTTAGGGGTGAATCTTACCTGTGAATTACTTGACGAGACATCTCTCAACTAATATGGGTTATTATTGTGTAATAAAAACTCCTCCATTGAAAACATTGATGTCTTCATCATACTTTTCCCCCACTATCCAATGGGTGATTTGCTTTATTCATTTTCTAATATCGTCCGAAGAGTTAACCAGAAATCGCGGCTTGTTTAAATCTTCTCGTCCCGGTGATTACTTCGACCCTTGTTGAGTCGACTAGTGCCCGGTCCATCCTTGAGCACACAATCACCGTAGGGGATTCTATTTCAATACGTTTTGTAATGACCCGGTTCGATCCATACAAATTAAGTCTCTCAAAAAGGAAAACTCAATATGACCACCCAGTCGTGATCATTTGGGGTGAATCTTACTTCTAAATCACTTTATTCGACCTCTCCCTTCAATGTCGGACTTTCGAGTGCTAAGCCCGGCGTGGATGATCAACTTTTAATCAAATCGAAGAAGTGGATTTAGTTTCTAGTACGCCAAAGCGAGCCTTGGATTACGGATAATTAGATGGAGGAGGACGTAGGGGAAAGGTAAATGAAAAAACATTCCGTTTCTTTACAATCCAAGGGGCACAGCACCAAGGTGCGGCAACCTAGAGACCTATAAAACACTCTATACATCTCACGAACTGAGCAAGTTTCGTCTTTTGTCTCGAA